ACAGTCTGAAATAATAATAACCAGAATTCTATATCTTTTTCATGATGCATAGATTACTTTTTAAATGCCAGATGAAACTACACTGAACAATTTGCTACAAAAGCCCTCAGTGGCTTCACAAAGACTGCTAGAAGCATCTTCATGCATCAGATAATGCTCCAACACAGGTTGCCTGCTTTTCATCGATAACTCAATAAGAATCCTTTTAGGAGAGCATTAGCTTAGACTTTAAAAAGGTAGTACAAAAAACTACCTTTTTTGTACATGAATCAAATGTCTTATATTTTAAAATGCACAAGCATTAGAAGCTCTCAAATACAGTTTGATCCATATTATTTGTATTGATCATGATTTTCAAATCTGATTTCAAGTCAGCTAAATATATCCAACATAGATATTTTTGCTTGTTTTTTTTAAAAAAAATATCAAACCTGTAATTATTAAAATATATTGTCAAAGGATAAGCATGTAAAAATGACCGCATGCAATATCTGATTGTAATTTATTTCATGCATAATGTACTATATCTCATTTTAAACTAGTGTTTCTCAACCTTAGCCATTGTAAAATATATGGACTTTAAATTCCAGAATTTGTCAGCCAACGTGAAGAAAATAGCTAAGGAAAACAAAATTTCTTCAAAAATGCCAATAAGCCAGGAAGATGGCTAGCTTATAAGATCAAAAAACAGAAAGAGAAGAAAATAATACATAATTTAGTAGATGGGAAAGGTTGTTTACAATTTAAAAAGGAAGAAATAAGAAAGATAATTAAGAAATATTACGAGGAATTATATGGTAAAGAAGAGGCTGCAAGAGAGAGAATTGCTCAATATCTAGAAGAAAGTAAATTGCCAAAAATTCCAGAGACATTCAAAACTATGTTAGAAGAAAGAATAACAACGATGGAGATATTAGAGGCTATAAAATGACAAAAAAATGGGAAAACACCAGGCCCAGATGGGCTACCGGCAGAACTTTATAAAAATCTACAAGATACATTAAGCCAATGGTTCTCAACCTATGGGTTGCGACCCCATTTGGGGTTGAACGACCATTTCACGGGGATCGCCAAACAACGCAGTCCGCCATTATTTCCCCTTTTCCTTAGCTGTGCTAGTCCCTTTTATTCTATTGGCTTTTGAAAGCCAATAGAATAGACTCTCTTGAATAGAGTCTAATTCTATTGGCTTTCAAAAGCCAATAGGAATTGTCCAGGCTGTCTCTGCCCTGCTGAGCCCGCCAAAAGTCCCATTCTGCAAACGGTGCTGCAAGTTGTCTGCAGTGAAGGCGAGCTGTGTAGAAGTTTCCACCCCTCCCTGCTGAGCAACTACTAAAAATGTAAGTAAAAAAGGGCCAGGGGTGAGAGGTGGGAGGCCGGCGGGCGCAGGGAGGGTTGTTGGTGCGCGTGGGGCCCAGCGGGTGCCTTAACTCCCTTGGGCTGGGCCAGCTGGTGGCCCAGCCGGTCGTCGGCCTGCTCCGTCTCTGCCGCTTGCCAGCTACGCCTCAGCTGGCACAGTGGGCAGCACCACGCATGCACGACGCTCCCGGGCAGGGAAAGTCCTCAACTTACAACCGGTTGGGTAGTCCTCAACTTACGACCGGTTGGGTAGTCCTCGACTTACGACCAGTTGGGGGTCGCGGCATTAAAAAAGTCGAGAACCACTGCATTAAGCGAACCACTGAAAGATGTTTGTAATGGACTATTGTTAGAGGCCAAAATTCCAAATACATGGATAGAAGCAAATATTACTTTGATACCAAAAGAAGATTCAGACTTGACATATATTAAGAACTATAAACCGATTTCATTACTCAATGTAGATTACAAAATTTTTACTTCAATAATGGCAGAGAGATTGAAAAAATACTTAGTTGAATTTATATATCCAGATCAAAATGGCTTTTTACCAAAGAGACAAATTAGAAACAATTTAAAGATGATAATGGACGTATTAGAATACTATGAATTACATCCAGGGAAACAATTAGCATTAGTGTTTTTAGATGCCCAAAAGGCATTTGATAATGTTTCCTGGCAATTACAAACAATGGATTTTGGAAACAATTTTATAAATATGATAAAAACAATATATAGCAACCAGACAGCAAAAGTGAGAGTGAATGGAGATTATACTGAGAGCTTTGAGATAAGAAAAGGTACGAGACAAGGGTGTCCACTATCTCCATTATTATTTATCTTTACTTTGGAAGTACTAAATAGAAGGATAAGACAGGACACAGAAATTAAAGTATTGAAAATAAAAGATGAAACATATAAATTACAAGCATTTGCTGATGATTTAGTGTTTATCTTGGAAGAACCTTTAGAGATGATTCCTAAACTATAGGGAAAGATAGAAGAGTATGGAGAAATGACAGGACTAAAAATAAATAAAGAAAAAACTAAAGTAATAGTAAAGAACCTCACAGATAAACAAAAAAAGGCAAATATTAGAAAAAACAGAAGTACAAATAGCGAAAAAAGTTAAATATTTAGGTATTCATCTTTCAGCTAAGTGTTCATCAATAAAAGAAGACAATTATACAAAATTATTGAAGCAAATAAAGCTAGACTTGGAAAGATGGAAAAATCTGCAGCTGTCAATATTAGGAAGAATTGCTACAGTAAAAATGAATGTGCTGCTGAAGATTTTATTTCTATTTCAAATGATTCCGATAAAACTTGAGAGAAAATTCTTTCAAAATTTAAATTCATTAATTTTGAACTTTATTTGGCAGGGGAAAAAAGCTAGAATTAAGATGAAAACATTACAAGATGCTAAGGAAAATGGAGGTTTTGGGTTGCCGGAATGGATGTTGTATTACCAAGCATCTGTGTTAACATGGGTGAAAGAGTGGATAACACTTAGAAATAAAAGGTTGTTGTATCTAGAGAGACATGATTTACAATTGGGGTGGCACGCTTTCTTATGGTACAGGAAAAACAGAGTCCATAAGTACTTTCAAAATCATTTTATAAGAAATGCCTTGTCAACAGTATGGGAAAAAATTAAAGCTAAAGTATATTTAAAAATTCCAGGATGGTTATCAACAATGGAGGCATTTATACATCCAAACTTGGTAGACTTTGAAAAAATATGGACATATAAAGATATTCTAAATATTGATGGGAAATTAAAATCTAAACAAGAACTGGAAAATCAGGGAATTAACTTGTCTTGGTGGGCACATTTACAGATACAAAGTAGATATGAAAAAAATGTAAAAATGTATGGATTTTATAAGGATCAAACTGTGTTTAATAAGATTTTGTTAACCTCAGATGAGAAATTAATTCAGAAAATGTATAACTCTTTGTTAATTTTGGATATGGAAAGTGAACAAGTGAAAGAAACAATGACAGGATGGGCAAAACTTTTTGGCTATAATATAGAATTAGAAAAATGGCAAATGTTATGGGAGAGAAACTACAAATTAACAATTCAACTTCATACAAAGAAAATATGTATAAAATGTTTTATAGATGGCACCTGCCACCAGTAAGATTAGCAAAAATGTTTAAAAATATGTCAGATAGATGTTGGAAATGTAAACATAACATAGGCACATACTATCACATTTGGTGGACATATGGTAAGGCAAAGGCCTATTGGAGAAAGATACCGTATTTTCTGGTGTATTAGACAACCCGGCGTATAAGACAACCCCTGACTTCGGAGCCGATTTGAATGCCTAGAAAGTCGTCTTATACGCCGGAAACTACCATAATTTCCGGCATTTAAGATGACCCCCGACTTCGGAGCCGATTTGAATGCTTTAGAAAGTCATCTCATACACCGGAAAATACAGTACATATGTGGTTAGAAAAAATATTGGGTGAATGTGGATTTTAAACCTGAACTTTTTTTTACTAGGTATTATACCTAAAAATACTAATAAGCAAAAATTATATTTAATCTTACACATCACTACAGCAGTGAGAATAATTTTTCCACAATACTGGAAGAATGAAGGATTGCCATCAGAAGAAGAAATAATCAGGAAAATTTTGGAATGTGCAGAGATGGACAATTAACTATGAGGTTGAAAGATAAAAAAGATACAGACTACTATCAAATTTGGGACCTTTTTTATTCTTGGCTAGAGGAAAGAATGAAGGATTAGGAAATGAACATGTATTAGCATAGCAAACTCCAGACAACTTGTTGATTGGAAAAATTAACATATGTTGATGAAAAAAAACCCAATAAAATCTTTATTAAAAAAAAAAAGAAAATAGCTAAGGTTGGGAAACATTATTTTAGACCAATAATCCTAGAGAGGCGGTCTTGTTATGAACATTATATTTTCCTGTTGTGGAATGTGTTATATTTTGTAACTTTGGAAAAAAGGGTTCTTTCTCCTGAATAGAAGGTGGTGCAACAACATATGTGGTTCATATGATAACAAGAACTACAGTTCCTTCTCTTTACACCCATCTCAGATTAATTTTTTTTCAGAGTTTTTTTTTTCAGGTTGGATTTCCACTGGCCATTCTTTAGAGACAAGGTACAGAGATTGCCCCTTCCTCCCAGAGAATGCATTCACATGACAATTTTTAGATAATATACCAAATTCTCATGATATATTAACTGTACCTGGTCTATCTTATTTTTGCCTCCTGCAAATAATAATTCTGAGTTCTCTATAAATCCCCAAATTGTATTAAATGTCTGCAAAGATACTGTTTTATGCATTATCACAATCCAATCCTTCAGAACCCAATCTCCAAACAAAAGGGCTTGTACAACCAGGGGTGATATATTAGTTACTTAGATTGCAATCCATAAACGTGTTCTTGGGAATAAGCTATGTGGAATTCAGTGCAATTTACTTGTGAATAGACTTGCATAGATTATGCAGCAAAAACCTAGCTAGTCTTCTACAGCGCCAATATTATTTAGCATGAACTTTCCCTTCCATTTTAATATACTTCAGGAAATGCTACATAGTTTTTCATTAAGTTTTCATCTCTAGAAACAATTGAATACTACTCACCAACCAATCCCTGCTGTCAACCACACATAAAAAGATGTCTCATCCCATACTTCTCTCTTTAACCAGGCTATGCTGGAAGCAGACAAAGATACACAGCTAAGATTGGTTATGCATTCAATGATCATTGGAATAAGTCCTTCTTGTCACACTTCTCCCATGCACGTACAGAGGAAATGACAGGGAAAATCTCACCTCCTAAATTTTTGCTGGTCAGGTAAGTGTTAATTTCATGGGATGGGGAAGTGCCAACTTTATTAGCTCCTGGCTGTACTAAACTCTTCCTTTTATCCCCTTCTTGCCCAGAAACCTGTAAACCACACCACAAGCCTGTGCAAGACAGCTCCACCCTTTGGACTTTGGATCTTGAAAAATTAAACATAGCAGCACAATTATGGCCTATTCATTCATTATCTAAAAATACTGACTTTTTTTCCTCCAGTGTTTAGACATAACCATTGTTTGGCTTTGTTTGGAGTATACCCTACTTCTATAAACTAGTTTATGATTTAGCACAATTGAACAGGAAGTAATGATGTCCTTGCAGTTCTCATATAAAAGTGCAATTTTCATATATCAGCCACCCACATGTCCTTTCTTCTAATTTTAGCACCCAAGTGCTACAGTAGTGCTAATAAAGGAATGGCCTAAAGACCTGTGTACAGAGAGTCCTGCAGCCACTCATAATTTCCCATTGCCAATCACTCTGCCACCATTACAGCAACATTATTCTGGTAGTTTACTATTAGGCATTAATTACATGTTATCTTTAGGTTCAGGGCAGCTCCCCCTTCAGTTTCCAATTCAGCGTCCCCAGCCAGCCTTTATAACAAGCCTGTTAACAAACATGTTAAACTAAATGACAGTAACTGATTTTAAAAAGGCAATATAGGCCTTATGGTAAAAAGTATTTTTTCCTCTTTATTATACTGTTACAAGTCTTGATACATTATATTTTTTTTCAAAACTACATTTTTACAGTATTACTGTTTATTATAGTATTGTCTAATGTTTAGATAAAGTGGAGTATTAGAAATAGAGGGAGGGGAAGCTACTTTATCAGTAATACAATTTAGGATATGGATATTACAGGTGTGAAATTTGATTTTTTCATACAAAGTTAAGGAAGAAGAAAGGGTTGATTACCTCAAAATGTTATAAACACTGTAGGTTTTGGTTTTGAGCAGATTGATATTGAAGTCTCTATTATACACACAGATACACATACAAGGCGAAAAAGAAAAAACAGAGCAGCAGATCGCATTTAACAAAAAAATAAATAAAACAACCAGAAGGGCATGTTTTCACCCCAAGTTTCCCAGGTTCCAATCGTTAGGAGTTCATAGCATCCCGGCTAATATATGGTTGCTAGTTTGTGCCTCTGTACTTGTACAAACACAAGTCGCTTAATTCGATTAAATAAATCATGAACTAATCAGTTATAAACAATCTATCCAGGTACCAAGTCCAGCCTCTCCACCAGATTTTTCTAAATTCAAGCTAATCTCCTGAGAGGCATAAAATACACCGTAAAAGCGTTATCCTTTCTCGCGTTTTCACCCAGCAGCTCTCAGCGGGAGGTCACCACGTCCAAAACCAGTAAAACTAACCTGCTGTGATAGTACAGGCATTCCAAACATACCCCCTGGTGACCCCCCTCCATTTAGTAATTTTGTAAACGGGAAAAAAAAACTCGGAACAAAAAACGAAACAATGGGAAAATCAACCCCGAAAAAAAAGATTTAAGAAACGTCTCAAGACTGCTAAATCCTCGCTTCGTTCATTCTTAGTTGCAATCGCACACGCGACTCTCACTTTGGCTGGTTCTTAACTCTTCTATGAGTGGTTGAGACCCTTTATTCCTCTCCGGGACGCAGCCACAGGATCGTTTGCAGGTGTTCCCCGAAAAGGTTTACTTTAGGATTTCCTCTTCCCCATTAACAATACAAACGTGAAATTGATAACTCACAGACCAAGCAAACCGAGGCTGTTAATCAGGTGCTTCTGCTACACTTTAACGGACCGAAACGCTTTGCCTGAAATTTCCACATGGCAGGACTAAACTCCTGGCTCTCTCCAAGACGACGTGGTTATTTGCATAGCCCAAAGCTGGAGCCTGCTTGCAAATGTTCTTCCTCTTCCCCCCCTCAAGAAAGCATTATTCGAGCTGAGACACGTGTTTCGAAAGCTAAGCAAAGCAAGCTTAAACTACTACCAGCCCATGCTATAGCAAAGGAAAACTTTCTCGCCAGTGCAAAATGGATTCTGGGAGTTGTAGTGCTAATGTTTCCGGGCTGTTCTTTAAAGGAAATGCTATATCTTCAAAGAACATACAGCTCTCATTAATGCTTGTCGATATATAAAGTCGAAAACGATGGATGCTTTGAGGGGGTTGACTTGTGTAATGGCTTCATGGCAATATTTCATTATTATCAGAGTAAACCGACTACTAATTTTTTTTTTAAAAAAACACACAATTCTGATTTAATAACACTGCAGACATTACTCTCAGGAGAGACAGAGACTTTTAAAGATGTTTTAATTTAATGGATCTTATTCAATATACAATCATTAAGCCATTAGTTCTAAGTAACTAGATTAATTTAAACTTTAAAAATGCAGCGCTTTGCTCTTTTAGATTCTATAGTTACAGAATGATAGGGTTGAAAGGTCTTCTAATCTAAACTAATAGAGTAGGAGTTGTTCCTTTTCCAACCACATTTTTCTCCCACTCTCATATTGGAAGAAGTGTTTGAAAGAGAGAAATGGAGGCAGTATGTTGATGAAGGTGCTCCTTTTAGTTGACACTATCACAAAACTTTCCCCATCACACCTCCATTTCTCTGTGCAAAGATAGAAGGAGAGAGTTTATTTCAGATCAATTGTTCTTTCGATTTAGACCATAGTGTCCAACCTTGGCAACTTTAAGATTTATAAACTTTAACTCTCAGAATTCCCCAGCCAGATAATTCCGGCAGTTCAAGCTCACAAGTCCACAAGTTTTAAAGTTGCTAAGGTTGTACACTTCCCCTGATTTAGACCTATCAGAATATAATGTTCAGGCAGGATACCTCTCAGTAATCTCTCTCCTAGGCTGAGATTGCTGGGGATTTTCCATCTGGCTAAGGTGCCAGGGCTGCCCTTGACCTACTTCATTAAATTGTAATGGATGGGAAAATTCTATTTGATAAAACTAACCCCATCTCTCAGGAAGCTTCCTTCAGTTCTATAGGCAAGGCTGTAGTTCTTGCTGCTCCATTCCTTTGAAGCACCCTGAAATTTAATGCTAAGTATTTTGCTTTCTGTACAAAATATTTTTGATGTGGTATGTGACAAACTGTCAATTTAGATTAACTCAGTTATGGACCTCTTCCCACAACAAGATGCTGCTCAGGGTCTGCTTAATGTCTGGTTCCTGTGAGAGATAAAAAGGAAGGTGTGGTTTCTCCAAGGTGGCCCCAGAGGTGTCCTTGATTTTTATCAGTTTGACTGTCGTCCCCCCCAAAAAAATCACAACAGCAGTGTGACTACATAATCAAAGTTCTGCCTCTTTTTTATGTGGTACACATAAATTAAAATTTTCACTCCATCATTCCCCATCACCACAGGTGCTTTGCTTCTGGCATTCCAGAAGGCACTGAAAACCAATGTTCTTCAGCAGGCTTTAGATTCCTAGCAAAAGAACAATAGGTGACTTTTAATTGTGTTTCTTTCAGTTATGCTCTTGTTATGCTTTAGTGATTTTAATGAGGGTTCATGTAGGGTTATTTTCGTAGATGTTGTGCTTTATGAATGGCTTTATTGCCTAATGCCAAGAGGTAACTGATTGGGGCAATGTGAAAATGATGTGAAATAAACAAATTAATACATAATCTGTACCATTACCAGTGCATCACATCAGAGAGATCACATCACAAACTATATCATGCCAGGAAAAGAAAGAGCATATAAATTAATCCTGTTCCTGAACACTTAGTGAAGAATTACAATAATTGAAATGAAGAAACAAACAAAGCTAAAAAAAAAAACCTATTATCCACAGGCCACAATTATCTACTAATATAAACTCTCCGTTTGCTCTCTTCAGCATCTTTGAAGATCATCACTGCTTATTTCTTGGTTGTGTTTCCATCAATCCATAATTAGCTAATTGTGTTTTGTGTAAACCCAACTGGACTGATTATGGTTCAGTGTCTTTTGATCCCAAATCTAGGTTAATAGAAAATTCATTGGTTAGCTTAAAGATAGGTAGTTGTGTCTTATGAGCACAACTCTGAGGATTATGCATCTGACCCAAGACTCTATGATATGTGCAATTCTTTATGCCACAACCAATAAGCAACTGAGACAAAGTTTGTTGGTGTATATGATTATAGTACCTAGTCAGATTTTCATTACTGAAGACTACATTAAAAACAAATGGAGTTCAAAGGCAGGGGTAGGTAAGGCAATAATGCAAAGTAGTTAGGACTTGGATTGTTTTTATTCTCCCACACTTTTTGGATAGGTAATTTTTTGCATTTAGAGAGTTAAAATTAAGGTAGGCTTTCCACTATTTGTGTGTTCGGTACTGCTTTGCTCAAAAACTGTCACTGAAATTCAACAGTGCAAGTTAAGAAAACCATGGGAGTCCCAAAATAGGATATGCAATGCTTATGCAGTTCTACAGTTGCAGTTATCAGCACATGCTTTTAGTGGAAGTGGTGGGTTCAGTTTTTTAAGCTTCCTAAATTGGTGCTATTTCAGTTTCCACAGTCTGGAGATAGCAATAGTGTGGTCTCTGGCTTATCCAACTGAGTCTCCTTGAAGAGCTGCTGCAAGCAGAAGGCTAGTTTGTATATATTTCTCATGATTTTGAGTGGACATTCCTTTGTATAAAAAAATTAAATAAACTAACACTTATTTCCTCTTGTAGCTCACATCTCATGTTTGTTTTACTGTTCTACTACAAGCTCAGCGTGATGTTCAAATCCCCAAGGGATTCCTTCTAAAATTAATTAACTATAAGAAGCTCTTTTGTGTTTTACCCATTCTCACCTACACCATTTTCAGTGAAAGCTTTACCCTTTGTTATTGCCACTAAGACAAATGAAATCTTTTCACATGTAAAATTGCACCAGTGTCTCTCCTTTGCTTAATAATAATTGCAAACATCTGAGGACAAAACAACCAGTGTTGCATATTGATTTAGCTGCTCCTTGTCTCTGTTGTTAGGTATTTTTATTTGGAAAAGTAGAAGTCACACATGCAGAACAATTTTAAGCAGAAAGCTTTAAAACCACAGATCTATGAAACAATTAATGGGAGGGGCCTGTAAAATATTGTTGAATGTTATGATAATAGATGATGTGAGATATGTATATAAGAAAAGCAAGCAACCCATCCACTCCGTATCCTGTTTATACATTTCTTTCCCCCCATCTGCTGAAAGAAATACACATTTCTTTCCCCATCTGCTAAATGATGCCACCATCATTTATATAGTTTTTGTGGGGCATATACTGTATATTTAAAAAAACCTAACGTAGGCAAATTTACTCATAAGCAGAGTAAAATATTAAAAAGGGTTTGAACTGAGACAGCTTCTGCATGAAGAGGTCTCCAGACTAATTGATTCATGCATATAGGAAAGAGACATTCTTTGTTTCAATTTCTGTTCTATTCCCTTTTTAAATGTTTATTTTTCAGATTTAAAATATGTTGCAACCTAATGTCTTAGCTGGAGCAAGTTATAAAAATATATATTTATCACATTACTCTTAGGGCTGTTGGTGGAATACATTCTTTATTCCAAAACCAAAACTTAAACCTTAGAAAACAGCAAGAAAAAAGGAAACACTGTACTCACACAGGAAAAAATGAAACTATTTGCAGTTTAAAAATAAAGATCATATTTATATTTCATTAGACTGTAGCATGCTAATAGGTTTCACAAGTAGTCCAATGTAGAAAAATATTAAGTTGATGTATTTCAGTGCAAAGATGGTAAAGAGTGAATTCCAAAATATTGGTTGAAATAACACACTGAAATTGGTTGACATATTTTTATATTCTGATGAAAGCTTTTCATTCTGATAATGTACAGACAGCTGATGCTATCCAAACATCTGTTATAACAAATATTAATAGGCAATCTAGTCAAATAAATATCTTTGGGTTGATGGCGTTTTTGAACCCATAAAAAAGCAGAACAGGTTATAGGAGAAGAAATAACACTTGTGACAGTAGCATGGTAGGAAAATGGCTTGGTGTTAGGACAGTGGCTTTCGTAGAACAAGTGTTTGTTGGGTCAGAGAATTAATCTCTTCATATCAATCTCCTGGCAAATACCAAGATGGAAGACCATGTATAAAGAAGCACGTTATATTAGCTATTTATTTAAATGTGCTATGATATTTATATCAGAAAACTGGATATGAGAAGGAATGAGTTTAGATGGGTATTATTCAATTGTCCTGCCAGCCAATGTGAATGAAATTAGCAGAAGCCCAATGAAGGGGTAGGAAAATTGATTTATTCCAAATTTTGTGTTTCATGTATTAAACTGCCCCCCCAAAGAGTGATAGCCAGGCACTATTTATTATATTTAAACATATTAGTCTCATACTAGTGAATGCATATCTTCCTTCCAACATTACTAAAGCACAAATTTATTATTATTGCTGTTATTTGAAGACCTCTTTGGACAACATGATAATGGGCTATCGGGAAGCTCACTTAACAGGAGATGGTGATTTTAATGCTAGACTAGAAATGAGTTAAATGGAAATTTCAGCAATATTCACCTCCCTAGAAGAGATGCTTTATCTTCTCTAGTACAGCAATGTAAAAAAAATCAAAGTGCAATTGAGCCAGACTTAATTGGGTTCATACATTCATATATGTGGTATGTATAACGGAAGATAACTCATACCTACTGCCTGGATACCACAATGAATACCTTAGACTGTTTGGATATTTCAGGTAGCATGTTGCATCCATGATTACATTTAGGGTGAATTGTTGCTTATTAGTCATTTACTTGTGATGCTAAGGCTTCAACTTAGAGAACAAGATTTATATACCAAGGGTAAACTGAAACTGGGTATTAAGGAGGAGATTTAAGTCAGACAATAAGATAGATAGAATAAAGTAAAAATATCCTTAAAAGATAAATATCCTTAAAAGATAAAGGTTTCTCCTGCTAGTCGTGTCTGATGCAAGGGGCTGTGCTCATCTCAATTTTTTAGCTGAGGAAGCCAGCGTTGTCCAAAGACAATTCCAT